TCAGCAATTAAGAGCACTGGCCACTCTACTAGAGAGCTTGAGTTTCAGTCCCAGTACCAAGGTATCTCCCAATTGACTGTGACTCCAGTTCCAGGGGATCCAATGATCTCTTCTGACTTCTGGCACCAGGCATGCTAAATTGTGCACAGATGGACATACACATTAAATAATAAACTCAAACTCTGCAGAGAATCATCTGTGGATAAAGTGTTTGGTGAGTAGGCATGAGGACCCGAGTTCAGATTCCCAGCACTCAGGTAAAACCTAGGCAGGGTCATATGCATACTCCCAGGAGAGTGATAGGATGATCCCAGGGGTTCTGAGGGCCACCATCTAGTGGAAGTGGCAAACTCCAGGTCAAATGTCAGACCTTGTCTCAAACAAAGGAGATCCAGGCATGCTGGTACTGGCCTTACACTCTGGAAAAAGAGGCAAACAGGCCTCTGAGTTTTGAGGCATCCAAGGCTACATAGGACCTAACCTCAAACAAACAAAAAGTATTTATTGGGGCCTGGGGAGATGGTTTAATGGTTAATAGCATTGGCTGCTCCTCCAGAGGACCCAGGTTCTATTCCCAGTACCTATGTGGTGACTTACAACTGTAATTTCAGTCTCAGGACATCTGATGTCCTCTGCTGGTCGTTGGGGCTCTGCATGCATGTGGTACATGACATATATGTAGGCAAAACATCCATATACACAAAATAATAATATATATTTTTAAACCTATATATGTTTTGTGGTGGAGAGACAGCTCAGTCATTAGAACATTAGCTTTTCTTCCAACAGACCTGGATTGGATTTCCAGAACCCACAGATCCTGAGTATATCACTGTTGAGTCCTGCCTTGGGTAACAAACGAGGAGTCCAGTAGATGGGTGTTCTTGTGAGCCCATCAAGAAATTCTAATGGACTTTGTTTGATTTGCAATATTCCCATGTTCTGGCTTCTCCTGATTCCCTGTCTACCCTACTTCTTGCCTTTACTTCTCCCAGACCCCAGTTAAGGACTTCCTTTCCTATCTGCTTCTGACAGTTGGGGTCTTTTGGATAGGCCCTCTGACAGGATACCCCCAAAATGTCACACCCAACACTAAAAATTCAGTTGGAAAAACCAAGCTAGATAGTCCACACTCCAATCCCATAATGGCAATTAGAGGTATCTCTTCAGAGGCAGGGGGATGATATGAATGGGAGGTAGAAATTGGCTAGACATTTTAAAGTAAAAAGGCCAAGGAAAAGTAAACAGTGCCCCCTCTTATTGTCTCTTTCCCCCCTCCTTTATTTTGCTAAAAGACAAAAATATCTGTGCCTCTTGGCAGCTTCTTCCTTGCCCAAGGTCAGACATGCCAATGTATTTTGGGAAACCCGACTTGTAATCTGGCTCCTAAACAGTTCTACAGTGACCCTTCCAGAGGGGAGAACAGTAAATAGCAGTAAAGGCTTGTAAAATAAACTTCTTTCTAGTCAAGTAATAGAATTTCTGGACAGGGTATAAACCTCACATTCCGGTTGGGTCAGCTCAGTTGCTTGATCAGAGGACTACCCTCTGGGTACTGGGTACTGACCTTAAGCCGGCACTTCTGAACATGCGGGTCACAACCCACAACTGGACCCCAACTAAGACAACTGGAAAACAGATATATACATTACAGTTCAGTTCATAACAGTAGTAAAATTACAGGTATGAAGTAACAACGACATAATTTTATGTTTGCGAGTCAGCACATGAGCAGTTGCATTAAAGGGTCACAGCAAGACGAAAGTGGAGAACCACTCACTGCTTTAAGGCGCGTTTAAGTCATCACTTAGAACAGTAATGTACTCCTACTAGAGACATCAAATGGTCAACATATGCTTGCTAAGTTTTAAAAAGAAGCATAAGAAACAGGGGGAATAGTGAGAATTGTTTTGTTTTTAATCAAAAGTAGTCAGTCTGGCAAGGACTTGTATTTCGGGATTTTTCCCATTCCCCTTAGCTTTGGTTAGCCAATTGTGTCAGACTGTGAAGTCAAGTTCTCACCAATGGCATAAAAATGCAGTCAACACTTAAACCAGGGACAAATGAAAGTAGCCATTTTGTCCCAGGTTTGAGTTCTAGCAGTCTTTTACAGCTGCCCTCCCCCTCTCCCTCCAGGCGAGCTCCCAAGAATTACTTTGCCTAGCTACTTTTCTTTCCATTTGAGTGGCTCTTTATGCAAGGCCGAGATTATTTATTGCTTGTTTCCAACACCGTGCACCCGTTTGGCTTGGAGCTATGTAGAGTAGGATGACCCCGAATTAAAAAATCAGCCTGTCACTGTAGTGCTGGAATTAAAGATGTGCCTAACCATGCACACAAAAGAATTGATAACTTTTAATCTGTTACCTCAAAAAATAGTTATGATGACAGCTGCGACAGTAAACAAGTACCCTCCGCTGACCTTTTACACACAACCAATTTTACAGACTGATGCTATATTTGAACCCATGACCCATGGCCGATGCCCAGTCACTGGTTACAACCACTGCGCATGCACCAAACCAGACGCAGTAACCTGGTGCAAAGGAGGAGGCGGAGCCAAGTTATTCCTAGGGCCTCAGAAAGGAAAAGACCCGCCTCCACCCGGCCATCGACCAATCAGAGCTCACCGGGCAGCTTCCGAACCAATGGCCTGCGCGAGTGCCTTGGTAGCAGGTTCCAAACGGAAGGATTAGGGGGTCAGGGGAAAGCGGGTGAACATGTCGTGTGGGACAGAGGCCTTCCGCTGACTCGATCCTGCCGTCCGCCAGAGTCAAAAGGCAGACGGCAGGCCAGGGCGGGGTCCTGGGGCTAGCGGACCGGTGGCCGTTTGGGGCCAGGCGCCGCTTCCTCACTTCCCCCCTTCAGCAAGTGGAACGTTCTAAGATGGCCGCCCCGGCGGCGGCTCCGCTCCCGATTTCCCCCCCACGCCCTGCACCCTTATGGTTCAGTCCGGATGACTGCGCATGTGCCGGGCTGCAGGGGCGGAGACCGGCGCCCCCCGGGTCACACGCAGTGGTTTGGGCCATGCTAGTCTCACAGGCTTTGGAGTGCATACTTCCCTGAACCCAAATTCTCAGAGTGGATTCAGTCCTGAAACCACAAGCATTTGTGGGGGGAGACTTGCTGGAGCGACTTGGTTTTTCTTTTCCTTTTTTTGGCTTTTCGAGACAAGGTTTCTCTGTGTAGCTCTGGCTGTCCTGGAACTCACTCTGTAGACCAGGCTAGCCTCGAACTCAGAAATCCTCCTGCCTCTGCCTCCCAAGTGATGGGATTAAAGGCGTGTGCCACCACTGCCCGGTGCAGCAAATACTCTTAACCACTGAACCATCTCTCTAGCTCCTAGATTCTTTTTGCAAAGAATGTTTTTGTTTCCTTTGTCAAAAATAAAGTGGGTATAGTTTAGCCACTTCATTTCTGGGTTCTCTATTTTATTGGTCCATTTGCCTATTTTTTTTTTCAAATACCACTCTCTGATCACCACAGGTCTATAATAGAATTTGAGATCCAGTATAATTGCTTTGACTATACATGGTCTTTTGTTGTTTGATATGAATTGTTTTTCTTCTAAACCTGTAAACTATGACATGGTGATTCTACATTAATTCTGAAAATTAATTTTGATTGTATATTTTTACAATATTAATTCTATCCAGAAGTACGGAATAATTTTCCATTGACTAGTATCTTTTGTGATTTCTTTGTTAAATATCTTGAAATTTTCTTTGTAGAGGTCTTTCACTTTTTTTAAAAAAAAGATTTATTTATTTTATTTATGAGTCCACTGTGGCTTTCTTCAGACACACCAGAAGAGGGCCTCAGATCCCTTTACAGATGGTTGTGAGCCACCATGTGGGTGCTGGGAATTGAACTCAGGACCTCTGGAAGAGCAGTCAGTGCTCTTAACCACTGAGCCATCTCTCCAGCTCCTGGTCTTTCACTTCTTTGGTTAAACATATTCACATTTATTTTGGGAGAGTTACTTTCAATGAAATATTTTTTCTTTCTTGGATAAGTAGACTGTTAGTATAAATGAAGGCTATTTGGGTTTTTTTGGGATTGTTTTGGAGACAGTTTCAGTATGTAGCCCTGACTGCCCTGGAACTCTCTATATAGACTATGCTGGCCTTGAACTCACAGGGACCTGCCTGCCTTTGACTTCTGAGTGCTAAAGTACCATTGTCAATGCTTATTTTGTATCCTACAACTTATTCTTAGTGCACATCAGGTCCACAAATTTTCTAGTAGGCTCAATAAGGTCTTTTAAGTAAAGAATCATATCAAGAGGACATAATCATCTTGATACCAAAACCAGGTAAAGAAACTCCAAAAAAAAAAAGGGAAAATAAAGAACAGAAAACTATAGACCAATTTCTTTGATGAACATAGATGCAAAAACTCCTAGGCAGGCTAGCCACGTTGATGTCTGTGGCCGATTTTACTACCGAGGACCATGAGGATATCCATGGTCTGTGCTGCAGCCTGGGAATCATACCGATCGAAGTGGCCTGTACTGCCATCTGAGGCTATGGTGACATTTGGCATGTACTGCCAATGACAGCCATGTCTGTGGTCCTACTACAGTCAAGGTCTGTATTGATGTTTGTGACCCATGTTACCACTGAAGACCACGGGGTATTTGTGGTCTGTCCTGCCACTTGAGGTCATGTTGGTGTTCTTGTTGCTGGATGGGCCTTGTCTGGGCCTGTGGTCCTACTGCAGCTTGGGGCCATGTTCATGGTCTGTCCTGTCATCAGAAAGTTTGTGAATGCCCATGACCTATGCTTCTGCTGTGAAGAGCAGAGGTTACTTTTGCTGTGATATTGATGAGTGCAGATGCACAGCTAAGACAGAAGGCCATGGAAGGCTTCTGTGACAAACCCTATCCCAACTCTCCCAAAAGTAATAACCTAGATAGGAAGGACTCAGTTCTATTTAGGAGGCAGACCACTGAGAGTTTGACCATGCTCCACTGAGTATAGAGATAACACAGATGGGACTTAGTTTTCTAATTTTTATTTATTATTATTTTAACTTGTTTTAGCAGGGGGGTCACAAAGTAGGGTGGGGGACAGACATGGAAGGACTGGGAAGTGTTATGACAGTATATGATGTGAAATTCTCCGAGAGTCAATAAAATTGTTTTTAAAAAATTCCTAACAAAATGCTTACAAACTGAATCTTAGGAACACATTGAGAAGATTACATATTACGACCAAGGAGGCTTCACTCCCAAAAGGCAAAGGTGTTCCAACATAACAGAAATCAGTAAATGGAATACAGCATATAAACAAACTCAAGTACAGAAAAACATGAAATTCTTTCAGTAAATGTTGGAAACCCATTTGACAAAGTTCAACATATTTTTTGTGATAAAAGCTCTGGAGACTGTAGAAATACATGGAAATATGTCAAAATAATAATGGCTATATACAATAAATCTATAGCCAACATAAGATTAGACACACTGAGCATGTCCTCTGAAATCAGGAAGTAGATGTCCATTCTCCCCTATCTTATTCAACACAGAATCAATGTCTTAGATAAGAGAGAGACATAAAGGAGACAATAGGAAGGAAAAAAGCCACACTATCCTTCTTTTTGAGACAGGTTCTTACTACCACACCTAGTACATTTCCTGTTAGGTTCTGAAGAAAGGGTATTTCAGTGAAACTCAGACTGTCCTGGAACTCATAGGAATTTTCCTGTCTCAGCTTCTCAAGTGCTAGATTACAGATATGGGCACCACACTTGGCGTGACTCATGTCTTTCTGTCTGTTCATTTTGACCAGAGAGTTCAGTTTCTCTTGTTCAACAGAGACAGCAGGTTCTGTTTTTCCCGATGGTATGTGGAACCCAGGGTTTTATATATGCCAGGCAAATACAGCAACTCTGAGCCCCACTCCAGACACATTTGGCAGGATCATTCTGTTCTGGGTGTTTTGATTATTTTTAGTGTGTGCCACGGGCTGACAAGTTAGGTATTTTTACCTGTGGCTCAGATCAGATCTAAGTCAAATACCATATATATTGGGGATGATTTAGAAACAATTGTGTCTAAGACTCTGACTTTTCTTCTCCAACCATTATACAGGAAAAAGGTTCAGGATTCTCAACAATAACCCTTTTATTTTTTTTAAAGAATATAATCACCTAGGGCAAGCCGAGAAACTGCAGAGTCAGAAATACCTTTTAACCTAAGCAATGTTCTGGGACTAAAAGTGACTAGCTCCTTTGGAAACTGGGATTAAGCCATCCTATTCATGGGCAGAAGTCCTCCTTTCTCTTCAGTGCATCATCAGCTCAGGGACATTCCTGGAGGGATTCCCTGGATCAAGGATGAAACAGATGTCCATACTAGAGTTGTCAATGGGAACAGCAGTTAGTTTCCCCTTCCTCTGACAAACTACCAGTCATAATTAAATTATAAGGAGGAAAGGTCTCATTTTTGGAGGCCCTCAGTCATGACCTAAGTAATCTCTGCCAGGCCTTTATCTTTCAAAGGTCAAAAGTATATGCTAGTAGTACAATCCTGAGCAAGAATCCTTTACCATATGGGCATATGAGCTGGAGAGGTGGCTCAGTGGTAAAGAGTGCTTACTGTGCTTCCAAAGGACTCAAGTCTGGTTCCTAGCACCCATGCAGGGCAGCTTGAAATTGCCTGTAACTTACTCCAGGGGAACTCAACACTCATGGTCTCTGAAAGCATTTGTATTCACAATCACATACTCTTTCTCTCTCTCACACACACACACACACATAAAACAACAACAACAACAAAATACAATAAATCTTTAAAAAAAATATAGGCCTTTGAAGGCCATTCAAGATCCAAACTCAGGAAGTTGTTTTGAGATGCAGCATTGCAGATTCTATAGTGTTTGTCTGGGGAGAGACTTCATAGCTTTTATGTTCCAAGGGTGAGCTATGTATTGAATGGGTAATTTAACTTGTCCTGAAGCCTCAGCAGGGAAATGAGGTTAAGAAATGAAGTATTTCCATTTGAGTTATCTCAGTTCCTCTACCCAAACTTACAGTTTACACCCTGGCTTTGACTTCATCCTTCCGCTATTTAAAATGGGTTTTATTACACTCCACATTTTGGTAAATAGTCTATCTAGTCACACCCCCATCCTTGCATCTCAAAGGAGGACAGAACAATTATCTCCCATCTTCTCCCTAGCATCTGTTATAGACTGCAACAAAGATAGTGACAGCCTGAGTGACAGGTCCATATATCAGTCTTCATCTGAGTCACCGGGGCCCATGTACTGGCAGATGGCATCATAGTGGAGCTCCACCACCCGATTCTCTCTCTCAAGCTGGACCAAAGCGTGACTCTGTGCTCTGTCCCGACTCAGAAGAAGTCCCACCTGAGGTGAGACAGGACAGAGTGAGGAACATCAGCCCAGATCCTCAGTGATGTGATCTGCAGACTCTCATTTCCAGACATGGGACTTACCTTTCCAGCATGTGGTCCCAGCACCACCATCACGCGGTGGCCTTCTCCCTTGGGAATCAGGGTCTCCAGCATGTCTTCTCTCACACCTACAGATGAGGGAGAGGAGAATGAAGTCCACAGCAAGGGCCAGCCTGGCCAGATCCTATTGGGAGGGCCTTTGCTAATATTTAGTAGAGCTACTCTTACACTATGTTGATAGATGGAGTCCCACTCTACCCATTTCACAGGTGAGAAAACCAAGGAGTAGTTCACAGAAAGAACCACCATACAGGAGCATTTTCCTACAGAAACTATGTACTGAGTACGGTCTCAGCCTGCCCTGCAGTGCAAGCTCAGAATACTTCTTCCTGTAAAGGCAATAGTTCTGACAGGGACAAACTCATTTTCACGCTAATCTAACATGGAAAATACATAGGATTTAGTTATCCCTCTCAAGGAAGTATCTGCTCTGGAAGAGGATGCTGGGGCTTGCAAAGAACCTTAATCCTGACCAACTTCTCAGCTCTTGGCCCAAGATTCTTTTTTTTTCCCTTTTTTGTACTTTTCCCTCTCCCTTCTCTTTCTCCATTTCTTTTCTTTTTAAAGATTTGTTTATTTGCCGGGCGGTGGTGGCGCACGCCTTTAATCCCAGCACTTGGGAGGCAGAGGCAGGTAGATTTCTGAGTTCGAGGCCAGCCTGGTCTACAGAGTGAGTTCCAGGACAGCCAGAGCTACACAGAGAAACCCTGTCTCGAAAAACCAAACCAAAAAAAAAAAAAAAGATTTGTTTATTTATATGAGTACGCTACTGTAGCAATCCAGACACACCAGAAGAGGGCATCAGTTCCAGATCCTATTACAGATGGTTGTGAGCCACCGTGTGGTTGCTGGGATTTGAACTCAGGACCTCTGGAAGACCAGTCAGTGCTCTTAATGGCTGAGCCATCTCTCCAGCCCCCATTTCTTTTCTTTGTAAAATAGGATCTTACATTGTAGCCCAGGTTGACCTTGGACTTGTGGGAATTCTGCCTCAGGAACTGGAATGGATCCTTTCTTTCTTCTTTAAAGTTTTTTTTTTTTTTAGATTTCTTTCTTTTATGTACACGAGTGTCTTGCTTGCATGTTATGTCTGTAGCATCATGTGTATGCCTATTGTTCAGAGATATCAGAAGAGGGCGTCAGATCCTCTGAAACTGGAGTTACAGACCGTTATGAATTGCAATGTGGATGCTTGGAATTGAACTTGAGTTGTCTGGAAAAGCAGCCAGTACTCTTAACCACTGAGCCACTGCTCCAGCTCCTCAAATAGACCCTTTCTTTATCATCCTCTAAGATGGGAACATCCTAGGTATAGTAGCTCAGACTTACCTTCCAGAACTCGGCCTTCATCCGTCCGACACACACATGTGTCTGGGCTCAGGACATCTTCAATTGTCATCTAGAGAGATGAAAAGAAGATGTTAGAAAGTTAAAGGGTCCAGTCCTGGGTGAGGAAGGGGCCTCTGGCTATGGGAGTCATACCTTGGTGTTATAATAGCGGCCACCTTTGTGCAGTTTGTCAATGAACCGCACACGTAGGTCCCTGTGCAACCAGTGCTTGTTTCTAGGGTCTGCTTTCTCTGTCTTGGGCACAGGTCCATCCTGTCTGTGGAGAAAGCCAGAACCTAGATTAGCTTTTGGTCACACTCATGTTGCAGCTAGCCTATCTTTAAAAGCCATGCTATAAAACCTGTCCCTACTGCTATTCCCAGTTCCTTCCATGCCCTGCTTTGCCTTCAAATTTTCCCTGACTGCTTGAGCCAACCCATACCATGCGAGCTCAGTGGACCACATCCTACCGTTGGGGAGAGTGTTTCCGCTTCTTCTCTGAATCCTTCTGCCTCCTCTTTGAGTCTTCCTGATTCTGTGGGGCCTTCACTGAGGAGGCTGTTCCAGTTGCTCTGTTCTGCTGCTCTGTGGAACTTTTGCTCACATGGCCTGTTCAAGGGGGTGTAGGGACAAGCAAGAAGAAAACCTCACTGTCTCACTGACATGTCCATCCAAGGGTCATTGTCCTCCTGGCAAAGGCCCCATTCCCTATCCACCTCCTTCAATAAGCCCCTCTCAACCACCTGGCACACAACAAAGACAGCAGAGTCAACTGCCTAGTGTTTACAAGAGTAGAGGAAGTGTCCCAGGCACCTCCAAGCTGAGCTGTCCCTCCCACATCCATCACTGTTCTGTTTGCCTCTCCTTGCTCACACCCTAACCCTAGTCTCATATTTAGCAAAAGAGGGGACCGCCACTCTAAATCCATGAGGACCTCTTGGGGTAGAAACTGGACTCCATATCCATTTCTTACTGCTCAGAGAGGATGAAGATGCATGGTGTTAAACTGAACAAACTAGGCTGAGGGTATGGCTCCTTGGTAGAGCCCAATTAGCACTGTCAAGGCTCTGGGTTCTAATCCTAGCACCACCAAACAAAAAGTAAATAAACTACTCTTGTCCCTTCTCATCCCTGACCTCTGACTGGAAGTCACACAGTGCCCTTTCTCCTTACAGATCTGGAGAGTCTGCCTGTCCCTATGCTTCTCTAAGTCTCCAGTCCTAAGAGACTCACCTGGCTTCGAGGTGTGGCTATCATACTCCTGCTGGGAAACAGGTCGCAGGCAATACTCACTAACAGTCACAATGCGGTTGCCTACTGCCAGCCGAACCATGGCCCGTACATTGTCAGGATCTAGGCCTTCTACCTAAGGTGGGAGCAAGGAGTGAGGGAGAAGGTGGAGGGTGAATGGACTACTGCTGCTAGGCCTAAAATATCTAACCCTTACCTCCAGCAGGCTTGGGCTCTCTCTCACTCTCTGAGCAGACTGTGAGCGTCACATTTGTTTTGTTTTTGAATACGAGTTTTCCTAGGTAGCTGTGACTGGCCTAAAACTTGGAGATTCACCAGTCTTTGAGTGCTGTGATTCAAGGTATACACCACTATGCCCACACGTACGCTGTAACCTTTGGTAATTAGGACCAGGTGTGGTTTGTCATTTCTCCCAAACTACGACTCCTGGGAAGTGGGACCAGGTATATGCTCCCATGTCTCCCTTAGCAAAACATAAAACAAAGACTTGCATGTATATTGGTATACATGCACATACCTGCTGTTTGTGTGGTATGTGCATATGTGTGTGGAGGACAGATGCTGACAGCAGGCATCTTCCTTAAATGTTCATTACCTAATGCTTTTTCCTTTTATTTATTTATTTTTGAAACTATGTAGATGTAGATAGCCCCGGCTGGACTGAAACTCACTCTATTAGCAGGCTGTCTTCAAAGTTACAGAGATCTGCCTGCCTTTGCCTTTTAAGTGCTGGGATTAAAGGTGTGAACCACCTTACTTCTTTGAAATTTGTATTTATGTGTGAGTGTGTTTTTGTCTACATGTATGTGTTTGTACACCATGTCATATGCATGCCTGGTATCTGCTGAGTCCAGAAGAGGGTGTTGGATCTCCTGAGACTGGACAGTTGTGAGCTACATGCAGTATTGGTGCTGGAAATTGAACCTAGGTCACTGGAAGAGCAGCAAGTACTCTTAACTGCTGAGCCAACTCTCCAGCCCCCACACCTTTTTTTTTTGAGCTAGTGAACCCGGAGCTCACTGACTCAGCTATGCTGGGTGGCCAATGAGCCCCAGAGACCCACCTCCGAGTCTCTCCTGCCCAGCTCTGGGCTACAGATGCATATGCTTGGCTTTTATGTGAGGCTGGGGATCCAAATTCATGTTTTCATGCGTGCATGCTAGTCAGTCATTTTACACGCTGAGACATCTCCACAGCTTTCACTTTTTTCAAGACAGGATCCAGGTCAGACTAGAATTTGTCATATACTCCAGGCTGGTCTTAACCTTACAGCAATTCTCCTGTTAGAGTTTCTTAGGTTCTGGGTTTGAATGCTTGCGTTAGCTTTAAGTTTTGTGGAGGTTGTAGGGTATGGAATTTTCTCCCTTCTGGTCGAGAACTGAGGCTCGAAAAGGCCTTGCAGGTGCCACACTTTCCTGGATTTTACATTGGCTCTGGGGGTCTTCAAGCTTGTGTAGGAAGCACTTTTCCACTGAGTTATCTCCCCAGCCCCTTGTTTTTTGGACACAGGTTTTGCTAAATACCAGAGGTTGGCTTTGGACTCATTAAATAGCTCAGGATAGTCTTGAATTTTGCTTCAATCTCTCAAGTATGCCACCAAATCCTCCCCATCCATCCATCCATCCATCCATCCACACTCCTAACTACAACCTGTTCAGTCCATATAATGCTCCCTATGTGTACATTTTCAGGGCTGTTTGGCACTGACACCAGTTGGTGTGCCCTTCCCTAGGAAGGTCATCTCTCCCATTCCCAGCTTTCCTCAGTTGCATAGGGTTCTTTGTGTAGGACTGAGGCTTCACGGACTTTTCTCCATCCAGTCTGTCATGTGGACCAGTGCTGTCCTTGTTCAGCTCATGTTTGGGCAATCATGTTGGTGACACTTTACGGTGTAGCTTCTGACACTGCTAGAAGACAATCTCACAGCAAACTGCTCACCGTTCTTATCGTCTTTCTGCTCCCTCTTCTGCAATGTTCTCTGAGCCTTAAGTTCAGAGTGTTTTGTAGATGTATCCCTTGGGACTGGGCTTCACAACTCTGTATTTTGATTGGTTGTGGTTTTTGATTTATTTTTGAGAAAAGGTTTCCTATGCTGCCCTTGAACTCTTGGAAATTCTTTTGCCTCAGTCTCCTGAGTGCTGGTATTACAGGTATGTTCCACTATAGCTGCTTCCTTCTCGTGGTTTTATTTTTTTCCTGTTAGGTGCCTCTTCCTACTTACTGAGCTAGATCCCTTAACTCCTTTAAAGTTTTTATTTAACTTTAGACAACTGTTAGGCTGCCCAAGCAGCTCTTGAATCTGTGATCCCCCTGCCTCAGTTTCTGTAGTGGTAGGATTACAGGCATGTCCCATGCCACCTGGCAGCCTTTCCTAGCCATCATTGTTCCTCACTGCAGCGCTCTAATTAATCTTCCCTGGTACCTGACACGGCTTCATGCTTCTTACCTTCCCATAGAGGCCTCGGCACGGGCCAGAAAGGACAACCACAGCTCCTCCATGGATTAGCCCCTGAGGCTGGTCTTCTTTATCCTTCTCTCGATCCCCATCTGGTCTTGGCGGATGGTGAGAGCCGGTGGAGGCCAAGGCCTGAGCCTCCATCAGGTTGGCACCAAGCCCTAAGCCCTTTGGCCTTATAGAGTTGACTCGGGGCTTCACTACCCTGAAGAGAAAAATAGGCTTGTGGGAGTACAAGTCTCCAATGCAACCCTTCTAGCATCCAAACTCACCTCAGAAATACTCGGTTTAATCGTTCATTTACTTGTGTGTGCTTGGGCACCATGACACACATATGAAAATTGGAGGACTGCTTGGGGGTGGGTTCATTCATTCATTCATGTGAGTTCTGAGGTCATCAGGATTGCAGGCCAAGGGCCTTTACCTGCCCAGGCATCCCAGCAGCTCACATTTATATTTAATTACCATTTCTGATATCCTATAAGGACCTTCTGAGCTCTAGAAATGCCAACTTTTCTTTTTTTGTGGTGTTTGGGGTCAAATCCAATCACAGTCACATTTGGCTTACCAAATGACTTGGGAATTCTTTGGGATTTACAACTGCAAAGGGATTTTGCTTTCCGTTCTAGGGATGGAAGATCTTTTACATGCTAGGCAAGCCTGTATCACTGGGCTACACACCAGCCCAACAAAAGAATTATAAGTCTACAAAATAAGAGTAAAGATGTTAAGTTTCTGTTAGTTTACCAGGGACTAAACCCTACCATGAGTATAATCATTTAATTCTTGCAACAAACCTGTGAGGTCAGTACCACCTGCATTTTTCAGATGAGGAAACTGATCCACAAAGAGGGACCTTAGTGTTTTGAAGACAAATCTGCAGTTGTTTGCTTTTTGGTTTGTTCTTTTGGAATAACAAGGCTTGAACCTATGGTCTGTGGAAACCACAGTTTGAAAGAGTAGTGAGCAACTAACTACTGAACTGGTAAGGCTGATAATGTCCTCCCTCACCACCTGGACAGTTCTAGATTAAATGTAACTACAGGGGTCTTGTTTATACCCATTGTCCCCCCACAACCCCCACCAAACTCACTGACTGAAAGTATTGCCGATGCCCTTGCCAGGTTTCCATCCCATGCCCCGCAACATGGCCAACCCATAGGCCTCCACAGGGACTGCCTCATAGTCGGCTTCCTCTGGCACCTATTGGTCAGGCAGGAGAAGAGAGTCAGGTTTTCCTTGGGGTGGGCCCTCTGTTTGCAGTGCATTTGCTGCCCACCACTCCACTCACGGGATGACTTTCTCCAGCCCTGGCCCCTAACAGACAGCTCACAGGGCAGTTTTCATTTATCACTCTTCACTCTGCTCCTCCACCCGAGGCTTTCAGTAACAACAAAACCTAACAACAAAACCTTTTTTACAATTATTTTATGCTATGTGTCTGAATGGTTTGTTTACATATATATATATATATATATATATATATATATCTCCACGATGTGTGTTGTGCTTGGTTTCAGTGGAGGTCAGAAGTGAGCACTGGATGCCCTGGAACTAGAGGTATGGATGGTTGTGAGCCATGTAGGTGCTGGGATCAAACCCAGGTTCTCTATTAAGTTAAGAGCAAGTGCTCTTAACTCTGAGCCATTGCTCTACCCTTCTCCGCCACTGCTTGTCTGTCTGAGACAGGCTCTCACTATGTAGCCCTGGCTGGCCTGGAACTCTATATTGACCAGACCAGGCTGGCTTTAAACTCAAGAGATCAGCCTGATCTTGTCTCCTAAGTGCTGGGATTAAAGACATGGACCACCACACCCAGCTTCAACAAATAGTCATATGCTTTCAAAAAAGTTGTAAAGGACCTAGTCTGTGGAAAGTGCTATCTTATTTAGGTGCTGAGAATAAGAAACTAATAAAATGGAAGACATCTGTTGGACTTACATTCTAGTTATCAAGACATACAATGTATCAAGTTCTGAAAACATGCTACATCATGTGGTGATCCATTTAAAATAAAGCTGCACTGTCCAGTAGGCCCGGCTATGTGTGAGGTGACAGAGGAGTCTGGCTTAAACCCAAGAATTGGAAACCAGCTTGGACAACATGCTGGGACACCCCCCACCCACCCATCTTCAAACCAAAACCAACCCCCAAAAATACCTGGCTAAGGGAACTCAAACGGAGATGGGAGTCACCAACATGACATTTAATCAGATAAATGATAAAAGACAGAAGAACAGATGAGGGTATGAGAAGGCTGCTCCAAACAAACTCGGTTGTAAAAAATAAAGGCTATACTTGGGAGGTGGGAGCAGCTTGTCTCTGTGAGCCCAAGGACAGCCTGAGCTACACATTGAAACCCTGTCTCAAAACACAAAGCAAACAAAAAAGGCCTGTGGTAAGGTAAGACTTTGTATGTATGGTTAAGAACCATGAAACTCACCAGGAAAAGTGGAAGCAGATGTGGTAAGAAATTAATGAGGAGAACTGGAAAGAGTCATGGGACCTAGAGTCACATGGGAGCCCAAAGAAAGACCCATGCGAAACAGTCCAGATGCTGCCTCTACTCAGGATGGTATTAATGAAGATGACAAGAAGCTAACGGCTTCTGGATCTCCTGAAGTGGGGCTGATGGGGCTGGGCTGATGGGCTAGGTGCAGGATATGAAATAAGAAGGGAAGTCAAAGACTGGCTCCAAGGACTTTAAGCTGAGAGGAAGGATGGATAGAATTGTGGTCATCTGAGATGTAGAGGGTGTGGAGGCTCAGAGATGAGGAAATCAGACAAACGAGGTCAAGGCTGCAACAGGATAAAATGAAGTATGGGCAAGGAGCATAGCTTAATAACAGGCATTTTAGCACAGGGAAGGTCCTGGGTTCCAACCAAAGCATGGAAAGAAAAAAGAAAAAAATGAGGTTTTTTTTTTTAAGGGAGGTGTTTGTATACCTTTAGTTCCAGCATTTGGGAGGCAGAGGCAGGAAAATCTCTGTGAGTTTGAGGCCAACTTAATCTACATAGAAATTCAGGACATTCAGGGATACAAGACTGTGTCTCAAAAAAAGATGGGGCAGACCACAAAGCCTGGTAAGAGTTGTAGGCATGAAGACCAGAAATTCAAGGTCATTTTTGGCAACAGAGTGAATTCAAGGCCAGCTTAGACTACATAAGACTGTTTCAAAAAGAAGAAACCAAAGCACATTGGAAGACTGAGACTGGCTCAGCTAAAAGAGAGGCTGTATCACAAAAATTTTATGAGTAAAAGCTAAAACACTAGCCAGGCGAAGTGGCACACATCTTTAATCCCAGCACTCAGAAGGCAGAGGGAGGTGGATCTCTGTGAATTTGAGGACACCCTGGTCCAGGACAGGCCAGAGGAGCTCTGTTACACAGAGAAACCCTGTGTCAAAAGGGGCGAAAAATGCTAAAAAGCTAAGAAGCTGAGCTCAAAACTTTACTTCCACAAACACACTTTCTGTCTTTTCTGCTATCATTTCTTCGTTCCTTTCCGATTACTTGGTGGACTTCAAGTTACCTGGGATTGACATGTGACAGTGATTTCCCACAACTGTGGCTTTCTTGGGCTGTTGCTGCCACTAAGAGTACCACTCTGGCCGAGCAGTGGTGGCGCACACCTTTAATCCCAGCACCTGGGAGGCAGAGGCAGGTGGATTTCTGAGTTCGAGGCTAGCCTGGTCTACAGAGTGAGTTCCAGGACAGCCAGGGCTACACAGAGAAACCCTGTCTCGAAGAAAACAAAAAGAGTACTCCACTGATGGTTCTTCTCTCACTAAAGCTAACTAACTCTCCTTCCAGGCCATCCTCCAGCCACGCCTATATATGTGTATCTTGGATTAGACTACTCCTTCCTTCCCTCCTTTTACTTCCTAGCTAGTCATCTTTGCTCCCCACCCACTCAGTCCCCACCCACTCTGTCCAATCCAGTCATTGGCTTCCTTAGTGCTCCTCAAGCAATGCAGACTACAATCAGAACAAAGAGGGAGAGAGGAAACAGACAAATGTGGCTCCAAATAGTATGTAACCTCGGGGCATTTGTATTTCCTGTATACTTTGTTGTCCACCTCATTCAGATAACCCCAGAATTCAAGTACATTTTTTTAAACACCCTGCTTTCTATTTTGTCAATGCTTCTAATAAGGATGGAAGGAGGACAGGCTAATTGGCAAGGCTCTGGGACATGGCCACACACACACACACACACACACACACACACTTTTCCTTCTATGTGCAAGGAGGGTAGAGGGAATGGTTAGGAGGGAGGCAAAAGGACAGCTCACTGTCTCAGCCTGAGGTTCGCTGTCTGTTCCTTCCCCACTGGGAGGACATCCTTTCTGGATCATGGGGATAGTGAGCGTGGGGTCAACACCTGCATTCTCCCTCTCCTCCAGAGACTTCTTGGATTCTAAGGAAGAATGGGAGGGATCAATGAGACCATACCCTATCCTTCCAACTTCTTCCCCTTCTATCTGCACCAAGTCAGAGCAAACAGGAAGGTTTCACTCACCCTCAATGAGTTCCTTCACAGCCTGGCACAACACACCGTCTGACATCAACACGGTGCTAGTTTCTGAGGATGCCTTAGGGCTCTTGGACAGTGGTTGCCTTCGAGAGCCATTCTGGATCAACGGGATAACCAGCTCCTTGGGAGCTTCTGGAGGGTTCACACTGATGTGGAGACAGAAATAAGGTTTGGAAAGTAGACATATTAGAAAGCAGAAATATCAGCCGGGCAGTGGTGATACATGACTTTAATCCCAGCATTCGGGAGGCAGAAGCAGGAGGATCTCTGAGTTCAAGGCCAGCCTGATCGATAGAGTGAGTTCCAGGACAACAAGGATACAGAGAAATCCTGTCTTGACACCCCCTCCAAAGAAAGGAAGTATAAACATCGGAAAAAAAGGAAAGGAACAAAATAACTATCAACGCCCAGCCCTATGGACCATGTTCCACAGGTTACTATCACAGGTCCACACATATTTGTTTTGAGACATCTCAAGATGTAGCCCGGGCTGGTCTATAAACTCTCAGTCAACCTGGTGCAACCTCCTAGTGCTGGAATTACAACCATGTATCATTTCTTCTCGTGCCCCCCAGCTTTAAAAGTGTCCTGTGGAAATCATTCTTAGGCCTTCAGCCACAATGACCTACAAATCACCACCTTTAGTCCAGATTCTCCCCAGTTGCAGGCTCACAAACTGTCCCCCACTTAGGCCTTTCGGACCTTCATTTCTTAACTATGATGATGATGGCCTATCCAAACTTGAATCTGCCTCGTTCTCCAAACCGTAGAAGCTCCCACCATTTCAGTTGAGACAGGAAGAATCCTGTCCTTTTCCCTCCTGTCCCTTTCTCAAAACACACACATCCTCAAGTCCCAACGACTTTTTCTCTGAGGAATCTATACCTCTGATTCTCAGCTCCCATTTAACTCACCTAACAAACCTCCCTCTTCTTGCCCTTAAATTATTTTCTTCCTGTTTAATTGTTTTTTAAATATAGGCTCTCAAATTGTTCAGGCTAGCGTTCAATTCTTGGTCCCCCTGCGCCAGCCTCCGGGGTCTTGACTTATAGGCATTTGCCGCCACTCCTGGTTACCTCCATAAATTTCCCGAGGCAATGTTTCAGGCTTTCCAGGCCACTGTCACCAGGACAAACAACTTTTACTCTGCCCTCCCGCTTAAGCCCATTTCACCGATTTCCAAAACGTGAAAGACCCGGCGTTTCACCTCTGCAGCTCCCTCCCTTCTACGGTCGCCAAGAAATCTTTCTCCTCTCGGGCCTGTCCTTCGCCGTCTCCGAGGTCTGCCAGCCGCCTCCGGACAGACGTGCGAGTGAAACTGAAAGAAATCGGAGCCGTTGACGGTGCAGCCGGTAGCGGACTCCCACGCTCCGCCATCTTGGCTCGAGTCCCAGGCGAGCGCTCTGCCTGCTGGGAAGTTTAGCTCGAGTCCTTAGGGGCTGGCCCAGGACGGCAAGAACCTATCCCAGAATGCAACGCCTCAAAGACCGGTGCCTCGAAGCCGTGGGAAACAGGAATCAGGGCTTGAAAACTCTTTCAGACGTCATAGGAACGTGCCGTACCAAGTATTCTGGGAAATGTAGTTCTCAGTGATATAGCCGCGGTGGATGGACGATTGATTAGGTTATTCCTAGGTATTCAACCGCTAGGAATTCAGTTCTAGGGTATTCTATACCCTCTTCCAACATCCGCCAGCACCGTGCACGCACGCGATGCTCATACATAAATTTAGGCAAAATGTTTATATACACAAAACAAAATAAATAAATTTTGTGTTTGACAAGCACATAATGTGCTTTCACAATGAGAACCTTACTGATGTAGAAAGTGTCATAAGGTGAAAAATCAGGATTGTGCCGGGGATGTAGTTCAGTTTTAAGTGCTAATAATTTAGCTTAGGGCCTTGCCTAAGCAAGCACTATACCTTTAAATTATATTCCTTTAATTTCTTTTTTTCTCCCTTGTCCCCCAGTTTCTTATGTTTTCTTGTAAAATGCTTTTGTTACACATGGTCTCTATGTTTCAGGTTGCTAACCCTTTCTAGCTTTTGGATGAGGTAGTGTCTTCTGGTCTTTGGCATAAAGGATGGGGACCTTCTGTGTTGGAGCCTCTTTGCCTGGTTTAGTTGCCTTTTTTTCCCTCAGCGAGAGCAGCACAGCTGTTGGCAGTTGCTAGTTGTCATTAACAAAAGGTGGTTGTGTGTGTTGGGGGGCACTATCAGAATAGCTACTCTTCGAAATTCCTCCTTCCCTACCTTTTTAGACAGGGTCTCATTAAATGGTCCGAGTGGCCTAGAACTCACAGAAATTTGCCTGCCTCCCAAGTGCATGGATTAAAAACGTGTGTCACCGTGTTCAGTCCCCATATATTTTTGACCGAGATAACTTTGATATTTTCCATAATAGTATTATAAATTATCCAAAACAGGAGATTAACATTTGTGTAATGCTGTATCTTTTTAATGATTGAGCCACACCCCTAACCCTGAGTGCAATTCTGTTAAGCTATTGTCTATTTTTCCTTTCAGGATCCAGTTTTGATATCTCATACAACGCAATGTAATTGTATGCCTCGTTTGTCTTCTGTAGTCTTTAGTGGTAGTTTTTTAGTCTTTGTCTTTACTGACTTTTGAAAAGTATAGCTCAGTTATTTTGAAGAACATAGTGCCAATATGGGTTGTGCTAACTTTTCATAATTAGTCTGAGGTTATAAGTTTGGGACAATAATTTCAGAGACAGGCCTGGAGAGATGGCTCATCAGTTAAGAGCACTTGCTGCTTTTGCATGGTACTGGGTTCAATTCCCAGCACCCTCATGGTGTTTCACACCATCTTAATTCCAGTTCTAGAGATCCATTGTCCTTTTTTGAACTTCACTGGCACCAGACACATACACAGTGCCCATGCATACTATTTATACATATAAAATTATATTAAAAAAGAATTTCATTGATGATCTGTCCTTCTAAGCATGAATCAGTGTTATGATGATGTTTATATGTCTTACTACTTTTTTCTGTATTTAAAAAAAAAAACTTTTTTTTTGAGACAGGGCCTCTTTTAGCCTAGGCTGACCTTGTACTAAATACATAGCTGAGCCCTATCTTGAACTCTTGGTTCTCCTGCCTCCACCTCCTGAGTACTGAGATTATAGGCATGCATCACCAGGTCTGAATTCTGAACTTTTTTGGCAGTTGCTAATTGGCTTTATTCATTTATTCACAAAAACATATCTGAACACTACACTCTCTAAACATGTACAATTATTATATAACAACTACAACCAAAATTAAATAAATTCTTACTTTAAAAGGACTTGCTTTGATGTTGACCCTAAAAATAATAACCTTTTTTGTTTTGTTTTGTTTTGAGACAAAGTCCTTCTATGTATCCTGGATGTCTGGGAATTCACTATATAGACCAGGCTGGGCTCAAACTCGAAGAGATCAGCCTGTCTCCTGAGTATTATAATTACTTTTTTTAAAAACACAGAAACATTTCAATATTTTTATTTGATTATTCAGTGTGGTTATTTAAATAAGAATTGCCCCATAGGCTCATATATTTGAATGTTTAGTGATCAAGAATTGACACTACTTGAGAAGGATTAGGAGGTGTGGCCTTATTGGGGTAGGTGTGACTTTGTTGGAAGAAACGTGTCACTGGGAGTGAGCTTTGAGGTCTCAAATGCTCAAGCCAGGCCCAGGGTCGCTGCCTGCCTGCTGCCTACAGATTTAGATGGAGAACTCATGTATTTCTCCACGTCTGTTTGCCTGCCATCAAGAACCCTGCCATTATGACCGTATAAGCAAGCCCCAATGAAATGTTTTCCTTTATTAAGACTTCCCTTGGTCATGATGTCTGTTCACAGCCATAGAGCACACACCAAGATATTCAGTAAAATTATAATATGTTTTCAAAAGTGTAGAAGAAACATATCATAGCCTCACTATGGTCAGACAGTCAGAGAAAACAACTTAAAGAAATTGGAATGATCTAACCTATAAGACATGGTCAGATTAAAATGAAGATTCTTGTAATCCAGGTACATACATATCTACTATGAATAATGAAAAATTTGAGACCTATTTTTCCTGTATAAGTTACCGGCATTTGAAAAACTTAATTTAGGACTAGGAAAATTTTTGTAGAATATTTGATCACACTGTGAACTCTGAGATTGAGTTGTGCCCTTAACACACACCTTTAATCCCTCTGGCTGAAATACAGATATACCCTTACTATACACCTTTAATACCAAACAATGAAAGTAAAGTTAGTTTGTAGAAGGATAAACTAAAATTTCTTTCTTTCTTTTCTTTTCTTTTTTTTTTTTTTTCGAGACAGGGTTTCTCTGTGTAGCCCTGGCTGTCCTGGAACTCACTCTGTAGACCAGGCTGGCCTCGAACTCAGAAGTCTGCCTGCCTCTGCCTCCCGAGTGCTGGGATTAAAGACGTGCGCCACCACTGCCCAGCGAACTAAAGTTTCAAAACGGTGTCTGATTTAGTGGCAGACAAAGTGACAAATCAGAGAAAGATTTTTCAGAATAGGGTATACCCAACTCTCATGAGAAGAGAGAAGAAAGAGGAGCTACTTTAGAGAGCAGTGCAGAAAGAGAGACTCTGAGTTCTCAGTCCTAAATAGGACTCTCTCTCTCTCTCTCTCTCTCTCTCTCTCTTTCTCTCTCTCTGTCTCTCACAGAGTTTTACAGAGAGACCAAGCTAGACACAGGTGAAGACAGACCGAGCCAGAGAATGAGAAGGAGCCAGAAGATTAGAACTGATTGTCAGAGTTAGTCTGAGACCAAGCAGAGCAACTCATGAGAAGCTGAGAGAAGCCAGATCGAATCAGTCAGCTTGGAGAGGAGTTTTGACCCAGAACAGCTGAGTCGAACCAGCCAGAGATTAGAAAGAGCTTATTAGGGTGAGTTTACTCAGCAGTAAGTCTCAGAGGCTGAAAACAATTTAGGCCTATATTAGATTGTATGGAGGGTAGAAGCTTCCAGGGCTAGGCCTAGGTTAGCAGACTGAGGCAGTAAACCATGGAGACAACAATTACATCAGGCAAATAAAAGTTACATTTACACAAAATGACTTAATGGGTAAGAGTGTCTGCTACCAAGCCTGCAGACCTGAGTTCTTGAAGAACCTACATAGTGAAAAGACAGAGCTAGCCACTAGTTGTCTCTGTCAGCCCCACAAGTGCCACAAGAAGCACACACACGTACATATAAACATGAAACAAGTGAACAAAATATGAAAACCAACTTTATCTAATTATATGTAAAGTGAATAACCGTGTAGTAGCTGGTTTTGAGTGTCAACTTGACACAAGCTAGAGTTATCAGAGAGGAAAGAGTCTCAGTTGAGGAAATGCCTCTATGGGATCCAGCTCTGAGATATTTTCTCAATTATTGATCAATAGGGGAGGGTCCAGTCCATTATGGGTAGGGCTATCCCTGGGTTGGTGGTCCTGGGTGCTGTAAGAAAGCAAGCTGAGCAAGCCATGAGGAACAAGACAGTAAGCAAAACCCATCCATGGCCTCTGCATCAGCTCCTGCCTCCAGGTTCCTGCCCTGCTTGAGTTCCTGTCCTGACGTTCTTCAATGATGAACAGTGATGTGGAAGTGCAAGCTGAATAAACCCTTTCCTCCCAACTTGCTTTGGTCATGATGTTTCTTTTCTTTTCTTTTCTTTTCTTTTCTTTCCTTCTTTCTTTCTTTCTTTCTTTCTTTCTTTCTTTCTTTCTTTCTTTCTTTCTTTCTTTCTTTTTGTTATTCAAGACAGAGTTTCTCTGTATAGCCCTGGGTGTCCTGGAACTCACTCTGTAGACCAGGCTAGCTTCGAACTCAGAAATCCACCTGCCTCTGCCTCCCAAGTGCTGGGATTAAAGGCGTGCGCCACCACCGCCCGGCATGATGTTTCACCTAAGCAATAAAACTTTGACTAAGACTCGTGCCTTACTAACTATAAAAGGGGCTGCTTGCCCCCTCCTCTTTTGCTCTGTCCTCTTGCTCCTCTCTCTCTCTCTCTCTCTCTCTCTCTCTCTCTCTCTCTCTCTCTTCCTTTCTGCCTTTCTCTGTCTTTTCTACTACCCTCTCAGCTCCCCTCCCCATGCCCTGAATAAGCTCTGTTCTTTACTATACTATGTGTGGCTAGTCCCTCAGGGGGAAGGGATTCCTCAGCATGGGCCTGCAGAGGCACCCCCTTCCCCCACAGCTGACTGCACATCCACCAAACATATTCCTTCTCCCCCCATATTTTTTATAAAACACAACAGCCATGCCATGTCCAAAAGATCAGTCTTTCACTACACTCTTCCCCATCCTTCAAGCCCTTACATGATGTTCTCTCTCTCTCTCTCTCTCTCTCTCTCTCTCTCTCT